CGCGCGGCGGGTGGGGGGTTGTCAAAGTTAACTCAATGATATGGAATAGGCGGCGGACCGAACATCGCATATGTTCGCCCGCCGTGGCGAACGCGAACATGCGATGTTCGCCGGGAACTGTCCGCCGGCGAACTGTTCGGGACATCTCTAGTCAGCTTTTATGTGGAACCAGTGAAGCAATAGCATCACCGTCCCACCCACTTTCCCTTGTGCTATAGGTAGCCCAATTTCCAGAATGCTGGAGTAAGTGGTATGAAGTCAGGAATGTAGTAATTCATTCAAATGCATTTTGCTAATTTTTGCACATTTTAACTCACATAGGAACCATTATCAAGCTTAATGAAGGCTTCTATGTGAGCTGAAACATTGCAATTTTTCTTCTTCGATAAATCTGCCTTGGATTATATTCATTAATGCAGTTCTACTATTTGTTGAAAGCCAATTCAGTGAAGTTTTGGCTTATTTCAACAGACAACCAAACAGCAGTGAAATGTAAGAACATATTCAATTAAAGGGACAGTTTAGGTACCATAAGGCACTGTAACAACTTCATCTTAATAAAGTTGTTATGGTGCCAGGAGTCCCCTGGGCACACTGTTGCCTCAAGAGGTTAAACTATTCTCGAATGGTTTAACCGCTAAGTTTCCTCCCATGCTAATCTCCACTACCCCACAGGCAGCATCCGGCTTATGAAATTTCAGTTCCAGGAAGCATGGAGTGCTGTCGGGCAGGAGTGCCACTGACTGGCTAAGAATGATCAGTTGACGCCGTCAGCCAATCAGTTTTCGATTCACTTCATTCACAAAACTGGCTTGGTTAGAAATTTACTTTTTTGAAGTCACTTGGTTTAACCTCAGGAGATAAGAATGTGTCCGGGGGGCCTCCTGGCACCATAAAAACTTAATTTAGATGAAGTTTTTATGGTGCCTAGAGTGATCCTTTAAAATAATCATGTTTTTACTTCACTAAAGATATCCTTCCTATTTTCTTCTTTTTCTGAGCTATTAGTGAGAGGATTGTGATGCTGACTAGATAATAAAAAATAGATGAGATGCTAAGGAGAAAAGCATTTATTTAAGGACTGTTGATAAAGTGTACTTATCTTATACTTGTTAATTCTGAATTACATATTATACATACTCACTAATGCCCATTCAATATTTGTATTAACCACTAATTATGCTTAATTAGGTATTTCTTTGTAGATATATAAAATAACCTCTTACATAAGTTTTCAAATCTCTAATTTAACATTTTGTCATCACCTTTTTTCTGTGTTGATGTGTTCACGTCTTTTGTGCTAGGTATCTGCAAGCTACACTGATTAAGATTATTTTTTTCTCATTCTCTCTCTCTCTCTCTCTCTCTCTCTCTATATATATATATATATAAATATATATATATATATATATATATATATAATTTAATTTTAAATATATTTTATATATGATTTATATATAGTTATGTATATAGTTATATTATTTTATTAATTATATATTGGAGGACCTGCCTGACAACCCAGGCAGAAATACCAGAGAAATTAATTTGCAAGCCCTGTACATGAGGGCTACTGTAGTATGTTATCACTGAACACAAATATGAGTGTTTTAGAGAAGTAAATTGTATACTGCTGATGATATAATTGAAAGGGCAGTTTTTTTGTGAACAATTCAAAAAACAAATATGAACACTAACTTTGGCCAGGTTTGCTGTGACTAAGTGGCTACTAAGAAAGACTGGACATACCCAATTTAAAAAAAAACATGGGTTGTCTACTTTTGCAAATGTGTCAAAGGCAACATAGGTCCAGCAAATTAATCTGGTAATTTTAATGTGGAAAATCTGAAATGGACAAGTTTATCCTGTAACTTTCCAAAACCCCATAAAACATATATGGGGGTGTGGGGGGGGAGGGGAGGGGACTGTTGTACTTTTGTACTATTAAGTCATAAGCTCCAGAAAATTGTAAGTGGCATTTCTTTTATTTTACCTCACCACCTATAGAATATTACAATATATTCTGTTTTCTGTCTTCATATTTTCCATTCTGACTCAACAGCATACAAGTTTGAGGAGACCCAGAAGGTGCTGTTTTCCTGTACCCTTTCCTGATCTATTGAATGATTCAAGTTTACATACTTGCTCTTAGCTACCTGATTGTTGTGAAATAATATTACCGGAGCAAGTCTGGATTTCCATCAATGAGAAGGTGTTTCCAATGTGCTGTCTGCTGAATAATTTTGGTGGAGTCCAATAGAGGCATTGCCACTTCGAGTGAGATAGGCTCAATTTCATTCTAGCAACATATGGTTTCAAGCTAGCTCATATTCATCTGGCAAATACTCAATATTATCCAGTGGCTACAGATATCCAAAGAGATACCGGCTTATTATTATAATTATCTCACTATACAGTGGGAGCCATGACTTTTATCTTCTCAGTAATAGTCTGCACATTCAAAGGACCACTATAGTGCCAGGAAAACAAACTCGTTTTCCTGGCACTATAGTGCCCTGAGGGTGCCCTCACCTTCAGGGTCCCACTCCCGTGGCGCTGAGGGGGGAGGAAGGGGTTAATCCCTTACCTTTTTTCCAGCGTCGGGCTCCCTCTGCGTTGGGACTCTCCTCCCTCTTCTTCCATCATCGGCTGAATGCGCATGCGCGGCAAGAGCCGCGCGCGCATTCAGCCAGTCCATAGGAAAGCATTACTCAATGCTTTCCTATGAACGCTGGCGTCTTCTCACTGTGAAAATCAATGAGACGGCCACTAGAGGCTGGATTAACCCTAAAGTAAACATAGCAGTTTCTGTGAAACTGCTATGTTTACAGCAAAAAGGGTTAACCCTAGCTGGACCAGGCACCCAGACCACTTCATTAAGCTGAAGTGGTCTGGGTGCCTATAGTGGTCCTTTAACGGGATTAACATCTTATTGGAACTTTTATTTTGTATCCCTTTTGTGCTTGTCCTTAGGATCCATATTATTGAGTTGGACTCTTTTGTGTAATTATTAAATGCATTTAATTGCTTGAACTTTGTACTGTTTCTTTTTATTTGTGAGTGTTTCAGATTTGTGTATTAATGTATCTATAATAAATGTATCTATATGGATTTATGACATTTAACTCTTTATTATTCTTGTTTTGATTCTTAACACAGTATGGCTATATGGATTCCCATAAGCAGTCTCATCAGTGCACTGTTTCTTTATTTGTATTACACACTCATTACAGTCAGTCTTAGCGATAAAGGCTCAGAGAGGAGCCGAAACGTTGCCTCTACTTTTTTGTTCTAAAAGACTGTCTTTTAGAATAAACCTCAGGTTTGCCTGGATGTTTTTCTTTTCTTCCATTTGATGTCTCCAGTGATTGACCCTTCCTTTCTGGAGCACCCTGCAGGAAGTATTCCCCCTTTCTAGTGTGTGCATGATACTCTATACTATTTTCATGCAAACAAACACAGTTGCAGACAGCCACACACACAGTCACAGTTACAGACAGCCACACACACAGTCACAGTTACAGTCACTCATCCACCCACACACGCACACAGTTACCTTTTTCATTATGGGCACTGAGTGAGGAGTGGATTCACAGCAGTACCTGGTGTCAAGTTGTGGGTGAAGCACTAAATTCTTCCTGCTTCCCCTCAATGTGCAGCAGCCACAGGGCACAAGGTTCTAGCCGTATTTAGAACTGCCAAGCTGCCCATTTGCCCCACCCAAGCAGCATATTTAGCTCCTCACCCTTACTTACAGATGGCTTCCAAATCCTGAAACTACATATGCGAGCTATGTCAGTTGTCCAGCACCCCTACTGCCATGTCACACCCCTAAGACCAGCCCCGGTCAAGCTAACCACCACTCATTAAGATGAGTCTATTAGTCTGTATACTTATGTAACTATGTAATATATTTAAACTATATCTGTGCTATAATTAAGGTCCCTGATTATCTCAATTAAATAAGCAATTGATCTTTCACTTTGAATTCATGTCAGTTCACAAAATACATAAATATAGCACAGAATGCATTGTTTGACAGGCCACAACCTTGGCACAGTGACCAATCCAATGCCATTTTTTTGTCGACCCAGGACATACTTGAAAACGAGAGAAATCTCAATGTATCTTTCCTGGTAAAATATTTTATAAATAAATAAAATAAATAAATTTTGTACAAGGGGTAGATCCAGCCTCCTACTGCAGATGCTACTTGTGGAAATTTGCAACTATTTGTGGAAATTAAAACAACTAAATGAATACAACCACTACACATTTCATCTACGAGGCAATATACTCATAGATTTGTATTATAAATAAATAGAATAGACACTTATATAAATATAGTTGTGGTCGTGGCAATATAGCCGTATATGGAAACATAGCATATAATAACATATCAATTACTTGGAATTAGTCGGTTGTGGTGTACCGAAACCGACAGAGGAGTAGGCCTGTAAAAGTGGGCAAAAATAAATTATCATAAGACATAATACGTTGACCAAAATCTTTATTTAGATAAGTCACAGAAAGCTAGTCTTAATTCTTTAACAGGATTGGGTATGTAAAGAGTATAAGCGGAAGATTTCCAGTGTCCCATTGTTTTGATGATGTGCGGAGGAATGTGGTTAGCAGAAGCTGTAGATGCTGCTCCGATTCGAAAAAAATGACCCGAAAATTGACTAGGGTTCAAGCCGAGTCTAGTCAACAGCAGTCTTACATAGAGCATAAACTTTGCTGTAGTTAGAACGTTACCGTGCAGTTCTAGCAAAGGTTGTAATGGTTGTTTGTGGAGTGATAGTAGATAATTGTCAAAATTTTGTACAGGGCACCATTTGTAATGAGTAGGGTACAAGGGGATCGTAACGGTATGACCTATGGTGCTGGTTTTTGAGTGTTTTAGCGTGAGTAGGTAATGGTCGTTCTGTTTCGCTAAGTCCATAGTTCTTAGGTAATCAGGGGACGTGATAGTCCTAGTTGTGAATTCGTTGGGACGGAGGAATCCATAAAAAGCAAGATATATGGGGCTGATTTTATTACCGTGTTTGTCCTAGGCTCAAAAGGAGAGGAATCTAACAAGTTGACTAGTGCATGAAATATATGGTTATCAATAGGTAGTCGATTCCCGGGGATATGTGTATCTAATTTCTTAATGCCTCTAAGAACTGTCTTGATTCGTGGCGTTGGGTTGTTGGATAAGCATGTGGTGTTGAATGCCCGTAAGGTATAGTTTTATAGTGTTAAATGATAGTTTAAGGTTGATGTGGCAAAAAGAAGTGAAACCCAATATTGATTCTATCGTGAACATATCGTGAATGTGAAATTCAGTGATGAATTTTTTTGAATATGTGAAAAGCTCTGTCGTAAGTGTTTCTAGTGTTTACACAAAGTGCCAGGTGAGAAATGTGACGTGCGTGATTTAACAAAGCTTTTAATCCATTATCATGTCTGTGAAAAGTGGGGCTGGAGTTGCCCGTCTGGAGGCGGTGGGTAGTGTCGTGAAGAATTCCTGAAAACGAAATCGAGACAAGTGATCAGCACTGATGTTTGTGCACCCTGGAACGTGAAAACATGTTAGAAAGAATTGACAAGTGGCTGCTACCCATGTGAGTCGTCTTAATAGCCTCATAATTACCAGGGATGATGACCGGCCTTTGTTGACAATATGGCAAGTAGCCATATTATCAGAATAGCACCACACCATGTGACCGGACCACTGGCGGCCCCAGGTAACGGCCGCAGCCACGATGGGGTACAATTCGAATAAAGCTGAGGTCTCTGTGAATTTTGTGAGTGATTTGACCTCAGTTGGCCATGGCCCCATGTGGCAGAAGCAGCCACAAGAGACTGTACCTGCATTATTATTCCCTTGTATTTGTCCTAATAATCGCTGGAAAGTGCCGAATGCACGACCACCCTGCTGTGGTCGTGTGCTTCCCCTGTATAGAGGGAAACAATGTTGCCAGAGAGGTAATTGGGTTCGTGGGTGGCCGCCGTTCGCATAAAAACCACGTGGCGGCGGCCATCTTAACTGCCGAACAGCGGTGCCTGGTCGTCGAGCGCCTGGAACTAAAACCGGGCGCTCGACTACCCAGACACCGCTCAGACCTCCAGGACCACGGGACTGCCCGATTCAAACTGCCGAACGGCCCGCCGTTCGGTAGGATGAATCCCCCAGACTAGGGGATTCATCCGAACCTAAGATTAGAGCCGGATGGCTGAACATTCGGTATTTTCAGTTCAGTGTAATAGACCGACCGCAGGGCCAGAATCCATGGAGCTGTTTTCGGCTACCAAATCCCTGCGGTCGGTCAAATCTTTGAATGTCTGTAACTCCCAAACCCCTGGTCTGATCTGGGTGAAATTTGAGTATGTTGCTCACCCAGACCAGACCAACCAGGGGACCCCTCATTTGTCACCGTACCCCCTGTATTTAGGGGACATCCAGAAATGGGGGAAAACTCTGTTCCCACTAATGAGCTTAACTGTTAATCTAAGGGGAGGAGAGGGAGAGGAGGTAACCACGATGTGATTGGATATGTTAAGTTACCTCCCTTGCATGGGAAAAAGTCATAAAAGCAAATGTGTGAATAAACCTGGCAGTTGACCTCCAAGCTATGTGTCGTCTAGTTCTTGGAGGGAAGGGATTGTAACTACGCTACCTGTTTTATACCTGTCTTGGATTGCTGTTCCTGTCTACCAGTGGAGTTACCTTGGATAATACCTCTACTCCGCTACAATTGGTGGCAAGCGACGGGATCGTACTACACAGCAAAAAGGAGTCAGCAGGAATTAAAAAGGACTGAATGGAAACGGATTATACCCTCTTAAAACGGGACACGCTAAGAGAGCTACTAGAAGCGAGAGGGAGGATAGCAAGCAACAAAACAAAGGCTATCCTAATCGCAGAACTCATGGAAGGAGACAGTCGCAGCTGCTGCAGCACCTCCAAGGGAGGAGGAATCTGAGTTTGCCAGGGAATATAGGTGCAGGATGGCTCTATTCCCACCAGACAAAGCAGCGCAGAAGGCAGACCAGATTTACAATGATGTACAGGCATACATCATGCTGCGAACAACACCGAGGAACCAACAAGAGGGGGAAGGAATCGCAACGGCTGTCCCCACCCCGCCAGCAAAAGCTAAAATACCGTATCAGGCATTTAAAGCATTTAATGATACCGAGGGGGACATTGATGGCTATTTACAGGACTTTGAACGGTTGTGCCAGCTACATGCCATTAGCACCGAAGACCAAGTGCCCCTGCTAGCGGGTAACCTGTCAGGCCGCGCCGCAGATGCCTACCGAGCCATGCCGGCAGAGGACATCCGGGACTATCAGAAGGTAAAACAAACCTTGCTCGCACGGTATGCCATTACACCGGAGGCATACCGAATACAGTTCCGGAAACTACTCAAACCGGGTTTTTCCAACCTCCCGGGATATACCCCGCTAGCTACCCATCGAGTAGAAACCCTAGACTCGACCCCGCTCCGCCAACCGCCCTACCGCATTCCTGAAGCGGTGAGGGGGAACATGTACAAAGAGTTGAAAGAAATGTTGCAGTTAAGAGTAATTGAGCCTTCGGATAGCCCCTGGGCATCCCCCGTAGTACTCGTGCCGAAACGGGATGGAACTACCCGCTTCTGCGTGGATTACCGGAGACTCAATGATAAAACCGTGTCCGATGCCTATCCCATGCCCCGGATAGACGAGTTACTAGACAAAATGGCTAGGGGTAAATACTTAACCACCATTGATCTTTGCAAGGGATATTGGCAAATCCCTCTAGACTCGCATGCAGAATTCGCACACCGACTACAACGGGCAGCCACCGGGTGGATAGAGGCAGCAAAAGCCATCACGTCCCAAGAGATCACGCAGTTGATGGTGCTGGAACAATTCTACCAATGTTTGTCAGAAGATCTACAGATCTGGGTAAGAGATCGTAAACCCCGTACGCTGCAAGAGGCCGCTAAGTTAGCAGATGAGCATCAGGACACCCGGCGGGAACAGCACTCATCTACTAGAGTGCAATCCACGCCAAACGTTCCCCGACTTCCCCCAGTAGATTCACCCCGACCAGGGGGGACCTACCAGTCACAACCCCCCCGGTACAACAACAGGGCATCTATCCGGTGCCATACCTGTAACCAGCTTGGGCATATGCAACGAGACTGTCCCCGAAACCGGGCCAGGCCGGCCTGGACCCCTCCACGACCACCAACCACCCCTGGAGCCGCAGTCCACTGCTATCAGGCCAGAGCATTGGCTCAACCTTTCACCCCTACCCAAATAGAGGAACCCTTGGGCACCCTCCATGAGGTAAACCCGGTACAGGCGGCATCCGACAAGTGGTCCACGTGGAGGGAAAGCGGATGGAGGGATTACGAGATTCTGGGGCCACCATCACTCTGATACGGAATCATTTAGTGGCCCCGAACCATCTCACTGGAGACTGTATTGCGGTTAGGGTGGCAGGGGGAGCCATTTACAAAGTACCCACCGCAAAACTACATTTGGACTGGGGAGCGGGGGCAGGGCAAATTGAAGTGGGGATGATGCAGGACCTACCTGCGGATGTGATTTTGGGGAACGACTTGGGGGAGCTAACCTCCGCTTTTGTTACCCGACCTCCTCCACAGGAGGCATACCCGGTCGTCACCCGTCAACAGGCTCGCACCACGGCACCACACATCGACTCTGAGGCTCAGGTAAGCCCGAACCCTCCTGATCACACTGTGTTACCCTGGGCCGCCCCATTAGAATTTGGTAGCGAGGTCGCCCTAGACCCATCCCTACAAGTTTACAAGGACCGGGTAGATAAAAACCAGACTGGCATAGAGGGGGAAAGATACGCTTGGGATAAGGGGTTATTATACCGGTATGCCGAAAAGATAGTAGCCGGATCAGTTCCCGTACCCATCAAACAGTTAATTGTGCCTCGGAAGTATAGACAAGAGTTAATACGAATCGCCCATGACATCCCCATGTCAGGCCACCTAGGGATCAGCCGAACCAAACATCGGCTGCTGCAAAATTTCTTCTGGCCAGGGATATCCCAGGATATTAAGCAGTACTGTAATACCTGTGATACCTGCCAAAGAGTGGGGAAGCGAGGGGACCGATACAAGGCCAAACTACACACCCTGCCCATAATCGAAGAACCCTTTAGCCGGGTAGCAGTAGACATAATCGGACCGCTGAAACAAAAGAGCCCGTCTGGCAAAAAATACATCTTAACCGTAGTAGACTACGCCACTAGATACCCAGAAGCAGTGGCCCTGACAAATGTGCATGCAGAGACCATAGTAGACGCCCTTATGCGCATATTTACCCGCATGGGGGTACCCCGGGAGATTATTTCCGATAGGGGTACCCAATTCACCGCTGAGGTCACTCACCAGCTGTGGAAAGTATGCGGGGTCCAAGCTATCCTTAACTCCCCCTACCACCCCCAGTCCAATGGCCTCTGCGAACGGTTCAATGGAACGCTAAAACAGATGATTCGCACGTTCGTAGCAACCCAGAAAGACTGGGAGCGGTTCCTACCCCACCTCCTGTTCGCCTACCGAGAGGTGCCCCAAGAGTCCACTGGGTTCTCCCCTTTCGAATTGTTATTCGGCAGGAGAGTAAGGGGACCCCTAGATCTAATCAGGGAACACTGGGAGGGGGGAACAACAATTAACGGCACCCCTATCGTACCTTATGTGTTGGAGTTTCGGAACCGCTTGGAGGCATTGACCCGGGCCGTGCGCGACAACCTCCAGGCGGCTCAGACCCGCCAGCGCCGATGGTATGATAAGGGAGCCAGGGACCGCAGCTTTCAGGTCGGCCAGAAGGTACTAGTCCTACGACCCGTCACTACTGATAAGCTGCAGGCTTCCTGGCAGGGCCCATTCCAGGTGGTAGAGCAAATCTGTGATACCACCTATATAATTGGCCCCTGCGCCGGGATCGGGGGTAAACGCATGTTCCATGTAAACATGCTAAAACCCTACCGCCAGCGCACAGAGGAGGTATCCGCCATCTGCGCCTCAGCTGCGGAGGACGCAGATAACCTACCCCTCCCTGATATGCTGGCCCGAGGAACTCTGCAGGAGGATCTAGCCGCTGTCCAGTTAGGGGAGCGCTTGGATCCTCAGGAAAGAGCTCAGGCCCAAAGTCTAATTAGGGAAAAAGGAGCCACTTTTTCCAACCTCCCGGGATATACCCCGCTAGCTACCCATCGAGTAGAAACCCTAGACTCGACCCCGCTCCGCCAACCGCCCTACCGCATTCCTGAAGCGGTGAGGGGGAACATGTACAAAGAGTTGAAAGAAATGTTGCAGTTAAGAGTAATTGAGCCTTCGGATAGCCCCTGGGCATCCCCCGTAGTACTCGTGCCGAAACGGGATGGAACTACCCGCTTCTGCGTGGATTACCGGAGACTCAATGATAAAA